ATAGAACTCGTGCCAAAGTGGCTCTGGCTAGCTTCATAGTGCTGTGCTTCATCCCATTGTGCTGCCACGGAGAGCCATAAACAGAATTTTTAAAGATTTCATGAACTTCAACTGTGTTTTCAGCCCTTGAGATTCAACAACCTGGACAGTTTTGAGAAAGAGAAGTTTGCATTCTTTTCATATTTTTGATATACTTTCTACAATTAGAGGTTATCTTTATTTTCATGCAAACTTAATACATCCAATTAAAAGTTTTGTTTGTGCAATTTCTAAGGGACAGAATTTTATAGTTCACATTTTTTTAAGCGATAAACTGGAATGTTGCTAAGGTGGTTATGTTAATGTGGGATTGAAAAATGTGAAATGGTAGGTATGTGTCTTCTCAGAATTGTGGTATTTTTCGGTTATTTGTGGTGGTGCCTGACATGGGAGCTCTCAGCCCTTGATGCTGGAGGAGGTAGGTGGTAGACGGGGGCCTTCCCAGGAGACAAAGCCGAAAGCGCAGGCCCAGAGAGAGGTGGAGGAGAAGTAGGACCCTGCTCCAGATCCTTGTCCACCCAATCACTGTAACTCCAGCTACCAGGTCTAGTGTGGGTGGTAATGCTTGAGTGTCTACGTGCAGATGGATACACATGTTATGATGCTGTATTCATACATATAAAATAGAAATCCCATAGAGACAGAAAGTATATAAACAACTTGTGTTGTATATTTATGTGCAATTTCCTTTTGATTGAGGGTAATAATAAATATGTGCTTTCCTTTGTTTGAACTCCCCTGCTTGGGTATAATTGTCTTAAAGTAAATTGAAAAAAAATACTATACATATTTTATAAGTTTCACAAATTAATAAAATTCTGTACAGCCTATAGTATGTGAAAATAAGTGAGACAGGCAGATATTTCAGCCTGGCTTCATAAAACACTCCAAAGAATATTAATGACTTCATAATTTTAAAGTCCTTTTCATATTTAATGTTCTGGCCTGAGAGCAGCAGGATAGTCTTACCCACTTCTAATGTAGTTTTGTAAGTGTGAACACTGTTTTCCATATCGCGACAAAGACATTTTTATTTCAGTGTTTCCAGTAAGGTGAGTCACAGCAGATCTTTGCTTTGCCCTATGGGGTTGTTGGGGGCGTGCAGGGAGGCAATGCTGATGACCAGGAATACTGAGGACGTTAGCACTGAGAGGCCTGGTGTGTGTCGCTGGCCGTGGCCCTGTTCTGTGTGGTGTTGGCTGGCCCTCTAACTGGACGTTCTTGTCTTTCCAGAATTCTATGAGGAAATTCTCTCGTTGGCATACAGTCTGACCTGCCATGGTGTCTCCCCTCAGATGTGGCAGCTGCTGGGTATCCTGTATGAGGTCTTCCAGCAGGACTGCTTTGAGTACTTCACAGGTGTGGCTCCACTAGGCGTGTCTTTGCCTTGTTGTTTCTGGACAGCATTTCCTGTGACTTGCACAACACTCCAGTTCTAGCACTCACCAGAAAATAGTTGATCTCAGTCCTGTGGATAGAGTGAAGCTGCTCTTTCGGGCCAGTTGTGGCCACCTTTGTGCCTGCAGAGCTGGCCCCCTCTGAATTCAACATCTGTCTGCCAAGCGCTGACTGTATTCCATGTCCTGTGGCAGCTTTGTACTAGGACGGAGACAACGTAGACAGCCCCTGTCATTTCCACTCTTCTTTCTGGGGAGGGAATCATAGATGAGCAGGAAAAAGTGTGGTGTGTCAGGCGGTGCTGAGCTCTGTGGAGAAAGAAGAAAATTGAGGCCAACTCCAGCAGTGAGCGATGAGTTTTCATCTCTCCTCCTCTGTAGAGAGGCTTTCTGGTGTGTAGCAGTTTGTGGTTGAGAGGGGAGATAGTGGTATGAGGGTGCTTCCATGGGAATAATATATGTCTATTTCTGTTACTCAAGTCTCTTTGGGATTTTGACTTTCTCCCCAGACATGATGCCTCTCCTGCATAACTACGTGACAATAGATACCAACACTCTACTCTCCAGCCCCAAACACCTAGAAATACTCTTCACAATGTGCAGAAAGGTGAGTGTGTGCCAGCCTGTCTTCCTCATGGCTCTCATCAGCGTTTCGGGGTCTGACATGAGGACACGCCTCTAGTTCCTCTAAGTGTTTAGTTCAGTGTTGCCTTTGTCCACACATATTTTTGGTTTATATTTTCAAATCTAGCTTGGGATTGTGATTTGAAAATATAAATATAATGCATTGTGCTTAAAAATGTTTCCCACTTTTGTAACTATACTTCATAATGTTCAGGGTCAGTAATTGTTCTTGAAAAAGATTCAGGTTTGCTTGCTGAATAAGGAAAAATGCTAGGAAATGAATACATGGTTTGTCTTTCACTGATTTTTGTTTTGATCAAACATATGTAGTAGCTATCAGCTTCAGGTGAGTTGAACACGAGTAAGACAAAGTTGGAATCACTGGAAAACAGCAGCATTTAGCTCAGTGCTGGGTCGTTTATAAGCTGCATACATGGTGGTGGACACAGCCATGTATGTCTGTTGTGTCACCTTTGTCATAAGCTCTGGGTTTTTCTTTGGCTGTATCTTGGTATCATTGATGACTAGTTTTTTTCTTCCTTCTGTGCCTAGATGCATACACATAATATAATCAATTCATATAAATGGAGGCAATATTATGAATGATTATAATATAAACAGCTGCCTAAAGCTGGCAGAGTTAAAAGTTCACATAACCAGAAAACCTTGGAGCTGATAGTGAGAGTGGGTGTGCAGTCTGTCTGGGGAAGGGTGTGCGTCAGCCCCTCCATGTCTTGCCCATGGGGTCTGGGCTGATCCCACTTGCGGTCTCCATGCCTGGGAGACGTGTAAAGGAAGGACAGAAGAGTAGACACTCACTTGGGTCTGTTAAATAGAACCTGACCACTTGTAGTTCTTGGGTTACTCCCTGCATTACCCGTGTCAGGGAGCTGCTAGTGAGGGAAGGTGGTAGTGGAGAGCCTGACAGCCCCAGAGTCCCTCCATCATGCACGGCTGCTCCACATTATGGGGGGCAGAGTAAGAGTGATGTCCTAGCACTTACCAAGTCACTAAAGGTATTTCTTAATGCTTTTATTAACAGCTAGTGTGTGTTGAACTCTCACCAAATGCCAGTTGTCTCTGCAGAACTTACTGTGTATTATTTAGACTTGACAATGCCGTGAAGGACCACCTTTTTGTCAGAAAGGAGCTGGGGGCACAGTCTCTTGCCTGGTGCCCCATGGTTAGTGAATCACCCTCTGTCTCAGAGCTAATGTGGGTTGAGTCGGATCTGAGCCAGGTGCCCAGTGCCAGAGCCCGTGTTTAAGTTTACTGTGAAATAATTTGTGTCTTCCCCTTTGGAAGGAAAAACAAAACAAGCAAGGAAATGGAGTTTGGGCAAAGGGAGTGACCGTTCTCTCTGTGCCATACAGCTCCGGGAGCAGGTGCCTGGTTAACCTGCTCTCAAAGTCGGGGCGCACATATACAGGGCAGACTGGGTTTTTTTTCCTGAACCCACACATGCTTGGGTACTGTTGAGGGGTCCTCGTGTGAGCGGTGCTGGCATCTGGCTCATACCCCAGCTGCCGTGGTCCACAGGTGTGTGGTCGTCTCTCTTCACTGTTCAGGTGTTCACCTGCACAGTCTTACTGTACCACTTTAATGCCCCTGTGGAAAGGACTAAAATTAAATAAATGAGAGTGTTCAATATGTCACCTTTATTGGGAACTTCCTTTGAAGTCATTTTTCTATAAGTTCTGTTTTTCTATGAAATTATTCAGTTCATCTAAGTTTTCAAATATATAAGGAATATAGGCTTCATGGTGTTCTCTTATTTTTAATCTTGCCTTGATCTGTAGTTATGTCTATTTTTTTCCTGGTATTTTTAAAAATTTAACTTCCATTGCTTTTTAGAATAATTTTGGCAAAAACTGCCTTCTTTGTTAAACCTTTTCTGAATGAATCTGGTTTTGGTTTTTCTCTTTTACCTTTTGTTGTCTTTAGCTTTCATTTCTCTCACCTTTATTTCTTTCTAAATTATTATTATAATAGTTTATTTTTGCATCATTTTGTGTCTTTTCCATCTCAGTTGTAATCCCCGTGGGCTTCCCATTATCAGTTCACCCATGTGGCATCACCATAGTCCAGTGCAACCCCCACAACCCATTTTTGATCCCATTCCCCACTCCACCCCCGTAAACTGTCTTTGGTATATAGTTGTTCATTATTATCACTAATCCCAATCCCCCAAGCCCCCCCCCCGCAACCCAGCCCCGGTCCTTTATGCTCCTGCTATGTGTGAAACCATCTGGTATTTCCCTTTTCTTTCTGGCTTATTTCAGTAAGCATGATATCTTCCAGCTTCATCCATGTTGCTGCAAAAGGCACGTGTTTCTGTTTTTTGATCGCTGAATAATATTCCATTGTGTATATGTACCACATCTTTTTAATCCACTTTTTAATTTACTTTTGGGCATTTGTGCTGCTTCCATGTTTTTCCAATTGTAAATAAAGCAGCAATAAACATGAGGGTGCAGGTGTCTTTTTGAATCAGTGTTATTTTGTCTTTTGGGTAGATACCTAAGAGTGGGATTGCTGGGTCATCTGGAAGCTCCATTTTTAGCAGTTTGTCTCTCACCTTTATTTCTTTAGGTTAATTCTGTTCTTTTTCTTATGTCTTGTGCTTGGATCCTTAACTTAGAAATTTTTTCATCTTAACTTTTTTTTTTTATAAATTTTTTAAAAAAGTTTTTATTTATGCATATAGAACTAGGGTATAGGCCAGAGGTGTAGGGGCAGTGAGAGGTTTCACCAGAGACAGAGTGGGGAGCAGAACAGGTAGATCAACTAAGTACACTGTAGAGGGGAGCATCAGGTGAGATAGGAGAGGTCTGCTGCACCATGTAGTTCACCCCCCCTGACCGGGGATCGAACTTGTGCTGAAGTGGCTGTGGCTAGCTTCATTGTGCTATGCTTTAACCCGTTGTGTCACCAGGGAGGGCCCTCATCTTAACCTAATACAAACATGCTTCTGTGAGCCTCTTGGGGACCTTCTTAAGGGGCAACCAGATTTTATGTCTGAATACACACATTGCAGAGCTATAATAGTGAAAACAGAATCGGCAACAGGGGGACAGTTTGGTCTTTGTTGTCTCTGCACAGCCATAAATGGCTGTAATGTTCATGGAAAGTATTCCCAATTATAAAGTCCACGTGGGGAATGAAAGTGTATGTAATTCCAAATTATGGTTATTATTATGAGAAGTAGGTGTATATGAACAGAAAAACAGAATAGCACAGAGTTTGCTTCATTGTTAAATCAGAAGTCTGGTTTGTTTTCTTTCTTTTTCTTTTTTTAAAGATTTATTTATGCATCCAGAACTGGGGTACAGGCTAGTGGTGCAGGGGCGGTGAGAGGATTTACCAGAAACAGAGAGGGGAGCAGAATAGGCAGATGGACGAAGTATGTTGCTTAGGGGAGCAGCGGGCAGGTCAGGAGAGGTCTGCCACGCCATGTGGATCACCTGCAGGGTAGGCGGGGATCGAACTCATGCTGAAGTGGCTTTAGCTTCTGAATGCTGGGCCACCAGGGAGGGCCCAGTTTGTTTTATTTTAATTTCATTTTGTTTTGTTGTCTGAGGATGGCTTGTTTATCAGGATGATTAACTCATATAACTTCCTTTGTTAATCCAAAGTTAAGTAAGTAAATTATTCTTCCTTCTAAGAAATAAAACTGGCTAGGAATGATATGTGGGCTTTATTTTCACCTTCCTCTGCTGGGTTGGCAAAGTAAATTTAGACAGCAAGCAAAGCTGTGATTCTAAAGGCCTGATTTTTATGGCTATTTGCCTCCTGTGGACTCATTTGAATTCTCTGTCCGGCCACTCACTGCTAATCTGATTGTATCCACCGCAGGTCCTGTGTGGAGATGCTGGAGAAGATGCAGAGTGTCACGCGGCCAAGCTCCTTGAGGTCATCATTCTCCAGTGCAAGGACAGGGGCATCGATCAGGTGTGTGTGTGTGCGGAAGCCTTGCCCTCGAAATGCCATCACGAACTCAAATTTCTGGGCTCTCCTGCCCGCCTGTCTGCACAGGTGTTTTCTTCTTCACTTTTTATGACTAACCTGCCCCTTTGGTGTCAAGGGAAAAAAAAGAAGATGAACATTTTATATATACAGTGATGGAAAATTTAAAAGAAAGACTTTGTGCTTGTTGGTGCAAATTATATTTAAATGACAAAGAAAAACTCCCAAGCTATCTGGAAATCATGTCTTGTATTCTAGCCGAGAAGGATGTACTCAAAAAATTCTGCAGTGGTTTAAGAAGCTAGCAAGTCCATCATGAAGGTGTGGGTATACGAGCTTCTGTTCAGCTGGGTTCCCACCATTCTAGGTTTTCCCTTTGATTAAGTTAAGCACTCCCACATTTCTTTTTAACCCAAAATGACGATACCATGCAAAAATGAAAAGTTTTTCTACTAATTTAAAATGTATTCTAAATTTTCAAGACAAGTCAACTTTTGATACTATTGTGGTATGATGTTCAACTTCTGGGGAAAAAAAGGTCACATATTCTTCCCAAACTGGTGTTTTCTTGTTGTTCAGTGATGTCTGCTTCATGTTTTCCAAACAGCAGTCTTACTGAGCTCTGACTCGCCTATCGTCCCATCACGCCTTTGGAGTGCAAGCTCCAGGGGTTTCGCCACACGCACAGAGGGTGCAGTGGTCCCCTCCATCTGCCCAGGACATTTCATCATCATCCCATCGTCTCATCTCCCCTTAGCACGCCCCGGCTTATTTCCTTTTCTTGGTTCTGCCTGTTCTAGACCTTTCCTATCATGGGGTTGTACGGGGTCTTCCTGAATGACTCCCTGCTCAGTGTCCTGTCTGAGAGACTCTCCCGTGGGACCATATCCTCGCTTCTCTACTCTTGGTGCCGAAGGCTCCACTGTGTGGATGTGTCACTTCTGCCTGTCTGTCAGTCAGTGCACACACACACACACACACTGTTTCCACTTCTTGGCCTCTGTGAATAAGGTGTGAACACTTGTGTTTGAATTTTTCTGTGGACATGTTTTCATGTCTCCTGTCACATGCTGGGTGGTAGTGACTCCATGCTCAAACATCTGAGGAGTTGCCTGGATGCTTCTCAGCTGCCAGTGAAGAGTGAAGTCTGCTTTCCTCAGACTTCACTGGAACCTGCTTTATTTGTTTTTGTGGCTATTTATTTATCTATTGCATAGAACAACTGGGGTGTAGGCCAGAGGTCGGGTGGTGGGGGTGGGGAGGGGGCTAGAGGATTTCCCAGAGACAGAGTGGAGAGCAGAACAGGCAGATCTACTGAAATCCACTGCTGAGGGGAGCAGCAGGCCAGACAGGAGAGGTCTGCTGTGCCATGTGGGTTAGTTCCCTGGCTGGGAGTCAAACCCAGGCCATAGCAGAGATGTCACTGAGACTTAACCTTAGCATGCAGTGGTGAATATTTGTTAAATGAAACTTTACTTTTAAGAGATCAGAAAAAGAGCTGTTTGAACTTCAGTTTATATTTTCTTTACACAGGACTTGTTTGATTATAGTAACAACTCCTAATGTAACCTCTGTCCTGTATGTGTGTTCTGTCTCCTCTGAATGCTCTAATGAGTAGGAGAAGAAATCAAGAGTTAACTTACGCCTCTCTCTTTCTTTTTTTAAAGGTTTATTTATTTGTGCACACGGAACTGGGGTGCAGGCCAGAGGTGCAGGGGCGGGTGAGAGGATTCAGCAAAGACAGAGTGGGGAGCAGAACAGGCAGATCGACGAAGTACACTGCTGAGGGGAGCAGTGGGCAAGACAGGAGAGGCCTGCTGCGCCATGTGGTCACCTCCAGGGTGGGGAGGTCAAACTCTGGCTGAAGTTGCTGCAGCCAGCTTGCAGTGCTGTCCTTTAACCTGCTGTGCCACCAGGGAGGGCCCTAACCTAGGAGGCCTCTGTCTTGGAGCACTGCACATAATCATATTAGATTTAATGTATCATCCTAAACAAAGCTAGTAGTCCTCTGATCCTAATGTGTTTGTGATTCTTCCTGCTAATGGAAATAATAAAGTGAACTCTTAAACTTCTACATGGGACATCGATTTTAAATTTACTTTCAATGGATACTTTTAAGATTTTTGAATATTTTATGTTCACAACAAAATTGAGTGGAAAGTGTAGAGATTTCCTGTATACCCCGCAGCTGTATCCCCCCACCCCCACCCCTTTTTCCCCGTCCCCACGGGAGCTGTTCCCTGGTATTGGTGTGTGAGTCTTCCTTCATACAATACCTGCCCCCCCCCGCCAAGTCCATGCCTCACATTAGGGTTCACTTGGTCTTGTGCTTTCTAGGGGTCTAGACAAACTGATCCCAGGTGTCCATCATCCTGGTATCCTACAGAGTAGTTTCTATAGAGTAGGTCCTCCATTATACCTGTTCATCCTTTCTCCCCCTGAAATTTGATTTTTTAAAAAATTTTATTTTAAAATGAGCTTGTATTAGATCTATTTATTTTTACACAAATAATTTCAAGCTGTTTTTTTCATTTGATAATAACCATTAGGAAATACTTGTAGTGTATTTAGTTTGTATTATGATTTAGAATTGGAGTCAGGTAGTCTTCTTTTAGTGTATAAGTCTGCTGTCCTCTCTTCTCTCTCTCACCAAAAAGATTTTCTTTCTCAAGAGCAATCCTGATCCTGCCATACTTATTCTCAGGCCCTTTCCTTTATCTCCACCTTTGCCCGTCACCTTGCACGTGGCTGATCTGCATTTGGGTCGTTGCTGCTGCTACAGCAGGAGCTCTCAGGAACTGTCTTCAGCTCGTGGGATCTGCGTGTAGTTGGGGTGGGGACGGGGGTCCAGTGGTGAGGGGGAGGTGTGGGTGAGGTTAAAGGGTGGGGAGGCAGGATGGGGGCTTGCTGGACTGCTCCAAGGCCTTCTCCTACCCATGTCACCTCTGAGATTTTACAAGAACGTAAACCTAATAATTCAGGAAGTGACAAATAAGCAGAAGTTCTGTCATGGCGTGTTTTACTTGTTGACGACTCTTTTTACCAACGGGCGTCTTTCTAGCAAAGCCCCGGTTCTCCCTGAGTGTGGCTGACTCTCTGTCCTCATCCCTCCAGTGCATACCACTTTTCGTCCAGCTGGCCCTGGAGAGGCTGACCCGAGGGGTGAACACCAGCGAGCTGCGTACCATGTGTCTGCAGGTGGCCATCGCTGCCCTCTACTACAACCCCGAGCTGCTGCTGCACACACTGGAGAGCATTCAGCTGCCCCACAATCCCGGGCCTGTGACCGCACAGTTCATAAACCAGTGGATGAACGACACCGACTGTTTTCTTGGGTACGTGACTTTTGGCTTTGATGCTGCTTTTCTGTTTCACAAAACTGGACTGCTGGACATGTGCACATCACAGAATGCAGCAGGCCGCTCTTATACCCGGGTGTCGGCCGTGTGCTCTTAGCATTGTGTTGGGGGGTTGGGGCTGTGTACGGTGTGAACTAATGTGAAGGACGGGCTGTTTTTGACTTACAGGTTTATTTCCAACTTCATGGGGAAGTGTTTCTCCAGGTTTCACTTGAAGTGCCTGTCCAGGTCATTAAGTTTCTCTGGGTAGAAATGTTCTAAACGGGCCCCTTTGTCAGGAAGGTGCTGGTGAAGGCCCAGCACACCATCTCGGATAGTAAACTCCCAGCAGATCTCAGAGCACCAGCGGTCAGAGGCGAGTGAGGAGGAGGTCGTCTTGGCCCAGCTGCCCCCTGGGAGGAGAGCTTGGCCTTGTGGGAAGCTCTTACCTCATTTTCAAACTCAGGGAAGTGGGAGTCCTCCTGGCAGCCTCATGCCTTGGCCCACTCAAGCCACCCCACACAGGCTGGAGACTGTGTCACCTAGCACTTGAACTAGACTGACAATTGACTTGCTGGAAACACCAGAAGGAGCTAGTGCTCACTTACAGATTTACAAGGCGGCATGGAAAGGATGTAGGTGGGCACTGCTAAGTGCCGTGAGGGTGGTGGGGCAGGCATGGTGGGGGGTTGTCACACACGGTGGTGGTCTCATTCTGCTTGTAGGGGTCTGGAGTTTGTCCTGACATAGATTTTTCATAAAAGCCTTGAAGGGAACAACATACTTTAACTTGTGCCTAATGTTATCTGTGACAAAGTGGACAGGCCAGTGAGTACAGGCTGGGGCCTTCACAGATGTTTCTTCATTGGTATCACTCAGCAGTTCCCCAAAGGTGGGCAGCCAGTTGTTAGGTTGGACATGCCTAGGGCAGCCTACTGGAGCCCCCTTTCTGCTGTCACCCTCTTGGTTGACCTCAGCCAGGTGCTGGTGGACACCCTGGTCCAGCCCCAGCCTACTTACCTGCTGCACTTCTGTGGTTCCAGTGACCCTGCAGGAAACAGCAGCAGCAAGTCATATGGTCTCATCACCTGCGCTCTCATTTTTATGGTTGGGTGACTCCCTGAATGTTTCCTTCATTCTGCCATTTTAAGAGCCTTGATACCAATACAGCAATTTTTTTTATTCTTGATTTTTTTTAACTGTGAACAACTTGGAAGAAACACTTTGCAGAAAATGTGTGGCATATATTGATATATTGGTCCAACTTTTTACCTTCAGAATGGAATTTTTCTTATCTTGCCACGGTAGAAGATGTTTCACAGATTTACTTGCAAATCTGCTCAGCTTATGCAGAGTTTTTGAAATAGGGTGGGGGGTGGTTAGTGCAGAGTCCCTGTGCCCACAAACTTTGTAGATCAAGTGAATGGAGCCAGAGTTGAAGGTACTCTTCCTTCTTCTGTCTGATAAGAATTTTATGCTGTCAAATACAGATATTCCTGTTTTAGTAAGGCTCCTTGTTCCAATTCCCAGATATACAACTTTTGTTAATCACAATTTGATACAGTATCAAGGTTTATCATAATTGTAGACTTCCTTTGGCCTCTGGTGATGTCTAGATTGCTGTGGACTTCATGCAGCACAGGGGCACCACAGCAGAAATGTCATGTGCCACCTTGAGAGTGCCCCTGGATGCTCCTTTCTGTAGTTATTACCATATGTGTCCTCTGTCTCACTGCACGTCTTGTCTCCTCTGGGATGGGCAGGCATCACGACCGGAAGATGTGCATCATCGGCCTGAGCATCCTCCTGGGACTGCAGAACCGCCCTCCTGCGGTCGATGCCGTGGCAGGGCAAATCGTGCCCTCTGTCCTGTTCCTCTTCCTTGGCCTTAAGCAGGTCTGTGCTACCAGACAGCTGGGGACCCGGGAAGATCGCACCAAGGTAGAGAAAGCCGACGTGGAAGAAAACGGTAACTCGGTCTGCTTGCAGTGGATGCTAGCACTGATCTTGATGTGAAAACGCATTCTCTTTGAATTTCAGTCTATTCAGAGTCAGTAGACAGATTTGTTTTCTTTTCCACACATTGCACATTTCACAAATATTTTGGATTTGGCTGTGTTAGTTATATCACATGGGGTAAATTTAGATTTGTTAACTATTTGACACTTAAATGATAATTTTTGTTTGTTTGTTTAAAAAGTTATTTATTTATGCATATAGAATTGGGGTATAGGCCAGAAGTGCAGGGGCGGTGAGAGGCTTCACCAGAGACAGAGTGGGGAGCAGAACAGGCCAGCTGACGAAGTACACTGCTGAGGGGAGCAGTGGGCGGGTCAGGAGAGGGCTGCCACGCTATGTGGGTCACCTCAGGGACTGGGTTTGGACTTATGCTGAAGTGGCTTTAGCTTCTAGGTGCTGCGCTTTAACCCACTGCGCCACCAGGGAGGGCCCTACATGATAGATTTTTTTTTTTTTAAAGTTTTATTTATTTGTGCATACAGAGCTGGGGTGCAGGCCAGAGGCTCAGGGGTGGTGAGGGGCTTCACCAGAGACAGAGTGGGGAGCAGAACAGGCAGATCGACGAAGTACACTGCTGAGGGGAGCAGCGGGCAGGTCAGGAGAGGTCTGCTGTGCCATGTGGTCACCTCCGGGGCAGGTGGGGATCGAACTCATGCGGAAGTGGCTTTAGATTCTCAGTGTTGTGCTTTAACCCGCTGCACCACCAGGGAGGGCCCATGATAGATTTTTTGAGTCTGATGCATATTGTCATTCCCTGGGAAGTACATTTACAATGGAATGAAGTGGCCTTGATGATGCGTCACCCAATATTTCATGTTCTTATCTGTGCAGATCACAGCTGTAAGTGAAGTAACCTGTCAGGTTGAGACAGCTAGCTCCAGAGAACAGGTTACTAGGAGAGCCTGATGTTTAAAAGATGGTTCTTAGCAGACTCATCATCAGAAACTTGACTTGGAAGACAGTTGTGGTTACTATATTAAACTTTTCAAATAAAGCACCTAAATGAGAGTTGCAACATTGAGTGCTACAGTAAGATGGTCAGAGTCAAGCCTATTAGTTCTCTATTTTATTTAATGATGTAAAGTTTTCTGGTAGGGCCAGGAAATAACATTATCCAACTCCAAGGGAAGTGTTTTTGTTATTTGGTTAAAAACAGAGGCTTCCTGGGCCCTCTCTGGTGGTGCAGCGGGTTAAAGCACAGCACTAAGAAGCTAAAGCCACTTTAGTGAGTTCAATCCCCGCCCCAGAGGTGACCCACATGGTGCAGCAGACCTCTCTTGACCCGCCCACTGCTCCCCTCAGCAGTATACTTCATCGATCTGCCTGTTCTGCTCCCCACTATGTCTCTGGTGAATCCTCTCACCGCCCTGCACCTCTGGCCTGTACCCCAGTTCTGTATGAACAAATAAATAAATCTTAAATCAACAACAACAAAAAACTAGAGGCTTCCTTAACCGAGAAAAATCAGACTTTGCTTGGAAAGGATATGTTCCATGCTAAATTCTATGTCCTCAGCACGTGTGGTGTCAGGCCGTTCTGCCTCACCTCAGTTTGTGCAGCACATGGGCTGCTCGTCTCCAAGCCCTAACTTACTGTGTTCTGTTTATGTTTCAATTCCATATAACTGGAGGGTTTGTTTGTTTTTTTGGCTGAGTATGTACCAACAATTACAGAGTTCCTTTTTCAGTGTCTTATATTTTCTAACATCTTACTTTGCTTGTTCTTCATTGGCTTGTAATTTATATGACATGGGGGAAATTTTTCTAGCAAAATCCCAGATTCCCCTGAATTTCTTACTGAAGTATAGAATGATTGATGAGCAAAGGTATTTCTTGCTTGTCTCGTTACGACATATGTGGGATGAAAAAGGATCACTCAGAGTCCATCTCCAGAGCAGCGAGGAGCCTAGAGGAATGGCACCAAGAAAATGCAGCCTAGCTCCAAGGGCAGTCTCATTTTTATTTAGAATCAGACAGAAAATAAGAAGATCAAAGAAGCAGGCGGGCAAAGGGGGAATGCACAAGTGTGTAGGGGTTGTGCAAGCAGCTGGCCCCAGGCAGGGCTGGGAAGAAGGAAAAAGTCAAGGAAACTTCAGTGTTTGTGCTCCTCTAACCGAGACACTGATTGCAGTTTCTGCACGTGCTGTTTTCAGCATGTATAGAGCTGCTCAGCAGAGCTTTTGCCAGAGCAGTTCCCCATCTCAAACTTGCCCTATTTCTGTATATGATCTTTTCAGCATTTATAGGTCCTCATATCAGAACTTTTGCCCTGAGAGGCTTCTTATCGCAAATTTTCCCTATTTCTGTATACTGAGAGGCACAAAATAGTCAAAGCAAAGAATAATCAAGGCAAAGACACAGAACAGTTGAGGCACGCAATAATCCCAGTTCCCACACTTGTTGACTTTGTGATTATACCTTTGTGGTTTACACACACACTCATCTCAGTGGTCAAAACTATAGTTTCTTGTCTTATCCCTAAAATGACCTGCAGTTTAATCCAGGCACTCTATGTTTTGTAGACTAATTTTGCATGAGTATTGCCTACTGTGGCTTCACTGCAGCTTTTCCTTGTAGCTGGGCTTTGTGCTTACTGCCTCCTGGTTATCGGCAGCACTGACCTAACTGCTTGGCACAGAGCAGCACTGCAAATAGATAGAGAAGCCAGGGCGCTGCACAGCTCAGCGCTTAGCTTCTCAGCCTTCACAGCTGCTTTACTTTTCCTTTACATTTCTGAATATTTTTTGTTTCTAGTAGCAGAAATGACCTCTTCACCTCACCATTTCTGAGCAGTTATCAGCCCTATTAGTTGTAGAGAGGCCCAGATTCTCAGTGGGAGTCATTGATGTTTAAAGCACATGCACTGATCGCACAATCACGTTAGGTCTTTTTCAACAAAAACGTTCATCCTGGAGTCTGTGGCTAAATAGTACTTTTATGCGAGTATGCAGCAGCTGCAGCAAAGCAGCAGTCAGCTCACCCAGGTCCTGGATGCAGGCCTAGAGGAGGAGACACAGGAGAACAAAGTCATATCCAGTTTAGCAAACTGCACTGTGGATAGGACTAATGACTACGTAAAATTACGGGGTAGTTTTTTCATTTCCTGACTGACATTGCCTGATTTTTGTTTTATGGAATTTCATATTTTACTGTATGTGTTTTGACTTCTTTCAACTCTTCCATGGGTTTGCAGAGGAGATTTCAAGTGATGAGGAGGACACAAATGTGACCGCTCAGGCCATGCAGTCCAACCCCGGGAGGGGTGAGGAGGAGGAGCAGGAGGAGGACTGGGATGAGGAGGTGCTGGAGGAAACGGCCCTGGAGGGCTTCAGCACCCCACTCGACCTGGACAGCAGTGTGGACGAGTATCAGTTCTTCACGCAGGCACTGCTCAGTATGTCTTCACTCCCTGAATCTTCAGATGTGTTTTCCAGACTCTCTTCATTTCCTCTCGTTAGAAGTTGTTTTGGGATCTGCCTGATAGTACTTTAGATTCTAAAACTTTTATTTTTATTATAGAGATTCTCCAAAATACACAAAACTGGAGAGAAATGCATGGTGAATCACCCAGCCCCACAGCCTCCATGGCTGTAGAGTCGGGCTGGCTGCAGGTTCCCTCCCAAGGTGACCCAAGCCCGCGTCCGTCTGAAATGCGCGTCCAGTCCCTGGACGTGGACACCTGCTTTTGCAGAAAAGACTCAAGTTTTATCTCTGGCGTACGTTGCTTAAACATTGTGACTGTAATCTTAATAGCATTCACAGTCCCCATGGGAAGTGCAGTCCAGACGCTTTAACCACATGAGTAGTTACCACCTTGCTGACACTGTGAATGTGGTTCAAGAACTCAGAGATTGGGAGAAATAGTGGTTACACAAACACCACAGATTTAAATTAAGCTCTATAGTTAACAAGACCTGTGTCAACCAATGCCAGCAACCCAGTATAAAAATGGAAGCAATAATTGGGAAATTTACAGAATTAAAACTAAAAAAACCAATGAAGATATCTAGAAAATTATTATAAAGAAATTATGACCTTCCCCCACAAGATTCTCCTTAATATCAGTTGTTTTTTCAAAGTTACATAGTCTTTCTCTGATTGCATCAAACTAACTTATTTCCACTGATGGACAAATGAGCATTTCTTGTTTTTGTTTTATTTTTTTAATATTACAAGCAATATTAAAGTGGACGTCCTTGCATGTAAAGTGCTGTCCCTGCACATTAGAGCTAGTTGAATGTGCTGCCATTATCTAGTACGCCACAAATGCCACAGGTGCAATGGGCCCTTGGCATGGGGAGTGTGGGTCCCTGACCGTGGAGCTGGGACTGGAGGGCCTGACCCAGGTGATGCCTCCAGATGGTGTCGTCATAACCAACAGGGAAGCTGTGGGTCTTGGTTGGGATCTCTGGATGTGAGATGCCACTCATGTGGCAGTTAGGCTTCTGGCCTTGCATGCAGAGGTGGAGACTGCTATTTTAAGTCTGTCAAGTGACCATACAGGACCAGATGGATTTATGGACTGAGGCAGTCTTTGTCCCATTGCCCTCGGGGTGTTTTGCTGTTAGCCAGTTGTTGGGATGTGTTTGTCTCCTTTAGGGGACTTATCAGGTGACCTATGCAAAACGAGCAGAAGGAGACTGGACCCAGGAACCCAGCACTGGGAGATGGCGCCATTTATTCAAGAATAACGCCCCAAGTGGAAGGGTGGCCAGGGGTAGGGGGAGGCTGCAGGTGAGCACAGCTGGGGGCCCTGAAATGGCAGGGTGTGGTTATCTAGGTGAGGGAACCACAGTGGCTCCTGGGAAACTGGTAGGACACCCTGGTTATGGGGTGATCACGGCAAAATGCTGAATTTGATTGAGAGACAAGTTTTACAATCATCCAGGATGTTCAGGGAACAGTTTTGCCCAAAGGAACACCTGTAGCTCTTGGTGCAGGGAGAAGCTGAAGCTCAGGCAGCTTGGGAGGTCCAGATGAGAGCAGTCACCCCAGGCCTGGGGTTTAGGGAGCTGTCACAGTAGCTCTCCAGAAAGGAGATGGTGATGGGCCAGCGGGAGGCCAAGGAGGGACTTGCAGATCCTGACCTTGGGGTGCTCCCAAGGTGGTGCTGACGAGTGATGCTTGGGCCTCCCTGGTCCATGTGGACCTTGCCTGGCACTGGTCTCTTGCTGTCTGTGCCACAAGCCAATCTCTGAAATAATAACCATTGACTTATCTTTCCTTCTCCCTGCGCGGCCCCATGCTGCCACAGCTGTGCAGAATCGGGATGCTGCCTGGTACCAGCTGCTCATGGCGCCACTCAGTGAGGACCAGCGGCGGGCGCTGCAGGAGGTGTACACGCTGGCAGAGCACCGCAGGACTGTGGCAGGTCAGCTGCTAGTATCCCTAGGGGCCTGGCCAGGGTGCCTGCTGGCATTCACATACTGTTCCCTAAATGTTACAGGCAGCCTTTCAGGACAGTAAGAAATTACCATCACTTCATGATTTTTTAGTTTTTTTTAAAAATTGAAGTAGGTGTGCAGCCTTAAACATCAGCACCTGTGTGCTCTATGGCTCGCTCACCCCAAAGGCCTAGGCCCTGTGTCTGATCTTTTAATCTCTTGGGAGGCCTTTGCAAAGCCCGAGCACCTCTGTCTGCGGCGGTGCTCTTCCTCATCCAGAGCTGCAGGGGGACACAGGGCTGGAAGGCATCTGGCTGAGGGACAGAGAGTCAGTTGCTCTTAACTGTGAAGACCCACTGGCCACTGTGAATTCTCCCAAGCAACTTGTGTTCCCAGAGATTAGATATGATGCTCACTGATGGCAGCTTTTGAACTGGAAAAATTAAGCTATGCACATTTTGTGATGGTCTCGCCTAGAAAATTAGTTGCAAAGAGTGGGGAATGACATTGTTCAGTGGAAGACACCCCGGCACAGGCCCCACAGGTAAAAACCGAGGCTCTTCTGCACAGACTCAGACCACAGCCCACACTGGCTCTGGGTGGCCCCCAGGAGGGCCACTGGGCTAGCGGAACTAGCTTTGAGACTCGTTTTCATTTTGCTCGTTTTTAGCTGACAGTTTTTCTGAGGTAGAGGATAGAACTCCCCACAGACATGGGTCTGTTAGAGGCTAATGTTCAGCGGGGCAGAGTAATTTCTGCCCCCTGACAAGTGCCACCTCCTAGTGCCCCACATCAGGAATTTGACTCCTTAGAGGTTATTTCCAACTTTGTCACCTTAAATCCATTCCCCCTTCCTTCTTTTGGCAAATGCTAGAGGCGAAGAAGAAGATTGAAGAACAGGGAGGCTTCACGTTTGAAAACAAAGGCATTCTCTCTGCGTTTAACTTTGGGACTCTGCCCAGCGACAACTGAGGAAGGAAACGCGCCTGGCCAGGTCACCTCTCCTTCACACCGCAGGGACGCGGGTCAAGGGAGCATCGGGGCTGCTGTTGAGCCCTCCCGCTGTGCCAGTGCCGCCTAGCTGGAGGCGGCATTTTTACCCACTCTTCCCTTCCCCTTGGGCCCTTCTCACCCTGAAATATATATTTTAAGCAGCTACTGTAATGTTTGACGTTAAGAAGATCATTGGACTGCAGAGAACAAACCATGTGTTCCAAAGACTGACGAGGGGCTCAGAGGGCGGACTGACAAGTGCGTCTCAGGTTTGGCCATGCAAAATCATGGATTTATGCGGATAACAGTGCCTTCTGTTGTACATGAATTATCTGAAACATTTTTTTGGAGTGCATTGGAATTTTTTTTAACGCATAAAACATATTTCTAGATATAATGAAAACCTTGGCTCTATGTTGACCTATACTGCATTTTACTATGTGAGTTTACTGTCAGGCAGTTATGACAAATCACTCTGGTTTCAAAAACGTCCCTGCTTCCCTTGTCTCCCCGCCTCCTCCCCTTGCTGCTGGGGGTGTTCTTCAGGGTTTGGAAAATATGCACTGGCTCTGGTTTTCTATAAGCTGTTTTATGGCTTTCCCAAGTAGGGTTTTATTCCCTCTCCTATAGTATTGTTCACCCCCTGAAGGGGGTCTGCAGATCTGCAGATTGATTTCAAGCATGGCCCCCCATAAGGTCAGGACTCAAATGTGGGATGGAAGCAGGTGTCAGGGCTCTCTAGTCACTGGAATTAACAATGAGCCCGAGCATATTCTGAATCACGTACTTAGATACACAGTTGACTGTGGATGACACTAAAGCACAGGAAGCTGTAGGGGAAGTGCTGCAGGGGCATGCTGGGGCGCCCATGTGCAAGAACTTACCATTCCAGCTTGGTTGGGCCCTGGTCCAAAGCATTTTCTAATGTATCTATTTTTTAAACTAGGGAAAAGACTCAATAGATTTAGCTTCTGGCTTTCTCACACACCTACATTTTCACCAAGAGCAGCCCAGTCTTTCTTACAGCTTGGTGTAGCTCTTGCATCTTTCAAGGGCTGGGGACACTGGTCATCAGCTGTCTTACATGGCAGTGTATGAGAGGACTTGTAAGACCTGTTGCAGGTGGAAGTTATGGCTGTTTTCTGAACCAAGTCAAGACCAGACCACGGAGCTCGTTTTCATTCAGTAAAGTGAAGAGTGTATTTTCAGGACTTCGCATGTCACTGGATATGATACAGTTTTCCATTTTTGTGAAATGTCTGCAGCTTATATTCTCCATCCGTGACTGGAGGAATTTTCTCTAGGTGCTTCCTCCAAAACCCTCCCTTGTGGATACAACCTGTTTCAAGAATTCTAAGTTATTTAAGCTGTCCTTATGGAAGTATCCTCAGAAGCCATGGGTTTCTGAGTTACACAGCCCCCGCTCGCCTCTTCCCAGGGTGACAACACTGAATGTGCCAAAGGCGGTGAGGATGGCACTGGCGGGAATTTTAGAGATTTTGAGCTTTGAGACTCTTTTTATCCTCTCCATGTCCCAAAGGGTTTCATTTTAACACACCCAACATGCCTTCACAGTGGGCTGTCTGCTGCAGCACGAAAGGGAAGTGTGAAGGGGCATCATCCTGTCTTGTTTTTGAAGCCAGGGTAGTCATATCATTTGTTACCAGCAGTGCTAACCCAAATATGATCTGGTTACCTTGGAAATGCAGGAACTTACATGAATGTACTGTAAAATAAATGCGGACTGACTCCAGAACCCAGGACTCTTCTGTGTGCAATGCTTCCCGAGAGGTGGCGATGCTTGGGGCAGGTGACCACCCTGCCTTGAGGAGCAGCCTAAGGCAGGGCTGCGGGGGCCTGTCCACAGGCCAGGAGGTGCAGAGGAGAGCTGCAGCAGCATGTCAGCACTGGACGGGCCACCTCGGGGACTGCACTGGAGGCTTCTGGCGGGTTACCATCAAGTCAGGAGCAGCCCAGTCTCTGGACTGTGAAATGTCTGCAGCTTATATTCTCCATCCGTGACTGGAGGAATTTTCTCTAGGTGCTTCCTCCAAATACTCACCTAACAGAACAGTTAGATCCGTCTACCCCACTGCTAATTTATGTTGAACCATACTGACAGTAAATTGTTAATCAGCAAACATTCCCAAGATTAAAAATCACTTAAACTGGTGCCACTTCGTTAATATAGTGAATAATAGCTCAGATGTCTGTTCAGCCAAGGAGATGGAGAACTGTAATAAGGCCCTAGGGGAGGTGAAGGGGGCCCGAGACTTGCAGAAGTGTGGGAGCATGCACCTCTTCCGTAGAATAATTTCAGACATGCTTTAAATTGGTAATTCTTGCCGTCCCTTTCCTCTCCACTGAGATGGCAACTACAGCGTGCCTTGGAATCCTCTGGTCAGTGTGCTAGTAGTTATGGCCACACAGTCAGAACACAGGTTTGAATGGGTTAGACCGCTCTTTTGGAGAAACAACAGACTCAAGGGTAACTGCAGGAGACAGGCCTGCGCGCGACAGGAGCAGTGGCTGGTCTGGCATGGCCAGATAGCCATGGAGGCAGAGGACAGAGGGGACATGCACTGTAGAGAGGGTGTGGAGTGGCCTACTGTCCAGGGGCTAGTGAGTAAGCATAGAGCAGGGCAGCCAACTTGACAACAAGATTTCATAGAAACTGGAGGTTTCCCAAAGTGTTAGGGATACCAGGAGCAGGAGTGACCAGAGACACGTCTCACAAGGGGTTCCCTGGGCATGATGACAAGGCTGCCTGGTCCCCTCTCATTAGTGGCCATGGCTCCCAGCTCAGCTCCTCCAGTTCAGAGCGAGGTCAGTGCCCTTGGTTTCTCTTCCTTTGTAGTCCTCTCCTGGGAACATCTGCATTTCCCTGTTTTCTGATTCCAGACAAGTTGACACCCCTGGGCCTCTCCTTACAGTGCACGAATGCACACACACGTGTACACAATGAGTTAGATTTCCTGCAAAGTGGATCATCTCTGGCCAGAGTTCACTTCTCCCCTCTCTTCCACAGCATGTTTGCTTATTCTGTTTTGTCTAATTGCCCACGCCTTTGGGTCTAAGTTTGGGGGCAGAGGCTTTGCTCTCAGTATCCTGTACATGTTTCTTTTTTAAGGTTTTATTTATGCATACAGAGCTGGGGTACAGGCCAGAAGTACAGGGGTGGTGAGAGGATTCACCAGAGACAGAGTGGGGGAGCAGAACAGGCAGATGAACAATGTATACTGCGGATATATACTGCTGAGGGGAGCAACAGTGGGGCAGGTCAGGAGCAGTCTGCCCCCTCTGGGGCTGGGGGTGGAACCTGCACTCAAGTGGCTGTGGCTAGCTTGTAGTGCTGTGCTTTAACCCGCTGTGCCACCAGGGAGGGCCCTCTGTGCATGTTTTCTTTATAAACCCTGCCTCTTGGTGCCAAGCAGGGTTAATGTGAACAAATGAATGAATGGGCATTTGAGGTTCTGCCAAGGAGCTTGGTGCTTGAATATCTGACAGGTAATGAGTTTCTGTGGAGGCACCTGGCTTCTGGAAGAGAGAAGTTTGCAGCAGCTGCAGTAGACACATTCTGTGGAAGGTAAGGGTTTGTCTGTCACGTGGGCCCTGCTGATAACCATCTCTCAAGTCCTGACCTCTCTTCCTTTCATTTTCATGACAAAGCATCCATTTCTCCTAACTCTGGGCTGTTCTTTTCTCCTTACAGTTTCATTCTCCTCTACCTAGTTTCATTCTCTCATCAGGTATTCACTGCATACCTGGTTCTTCCAGGTTGGTCCTAGGCCCTCTCTCCTGTTGGACTTCTCCTCAGGCTCAGGTTCAGAGTCAACAGTTGCTTCTTCAGGTCACACCAGCACAATGGGCAGAGTGGTTTTTCTCTTTTTTGATGAGAAAATATTTTTTGCAATCAGGTTTCATTAATTTCCCTTTTGATTACACACCATATGTATATCACCTGTACAACTCCTTCCCCCGCAATGTGTGCACGGGCCTCGCTCACTCTCCACCAAAGCTTCTGTGCCAGTTACCCATATCTCCCTTCTCACCAGGTGACCACAGAATTTTTGCAGAATCTAAATTATTTCTGTCATTTTTCTAATTTATGTTCTTTGGTTATTTGGATTCCAGAAATGAGAGAAACCATTTGGTAATCATCTTGTGTTTTTTCACTAACTTCATTTATATAATCGCCTCAAAATCAATCCATTTTGTCCCAAATGGCACTATTTTGTCTTTTTAAATAGTCGAGTAGTATTCCACAGAGTATATAGTCCACAATTTCTTTTTCTAGTCATCTGTCGGTGGACATTTGGTTGTTTACTTGTCTTGGTTATTGTGGGTAAGGCTGCTGTGCACACAGGGCTGCATAAGTCTTTTTGTATGAATGTTCTCATAGTCTTTGGCGAATACTAGTGCTGGTCTTGCTGGATCATGTGGTATCTCCATTTTCAATTTATGGCAGCCCCTCCATATGGTTCTCTACAGAAGCCACAGCAATTTACGTTACCACCTACAGTAAGTGAGAGTTCCTATTTCTCCAAGTTGTCACCCATGCAAATCCTGGGCTTCCCAGGTTGGCATAGGAGTTAAATCTCAGCTCTTGGCGCTTTTAGGCTATCACAGGTGCTGCAGCCTGAGTTAGATCCTGGTGAGGGAGCTGACCCACATGGTGCAGCAAACCTTGCCTGTCTCCTCTGCTGCTGTCCTCAGCAGTGTATTTCAGTTGATCAGCCTGTTTTCTCCAGAGAACAGGAGAGCATTCACTCTCACCACTGCACCTCTGGCCCTCACCCCAATTCCTGTATACATAAATACATTGTTAAATCTTTAATATAAAAATACAAGTCTTGATTTTATCTCTAACCCGAGAGCTTAAGACCAGGCAATAGCTTCTAAGGTTCACAGGTCTCACCCTGATTTCTTTCTTTTTTAAAAAGATTTATTTATTTGTGCATACAGAACTGGGGTACAGGCCAGAGGCTCAGGGGCGGCAAAAGGTTTCACCAGAGACAGAGTGGGGAGCAGAACAGACAGATCGAGGAAGCACATTGCTGAGGGGAGCAGCAGGCTGGTCAGGAGAGGTCTGCCACGCCATGTGGTCACCTCCCGGGCAGGCGGGAATGGAACTCATGCAGAAGTGGCTTAAGCTTCTCAGTGCTGTGCTTTAACCCGCTGCGCCATCAGGGAGGGCCTCAGCCTGATTTCTAAGTGGGCCTTAGCCCACTGGGCTTTTAGGACAGGCAGACCCCCATGGGTCTCCTAGGTAAAGGCTCCAGGGCCCTCGGGGCTGACACTGGGTTTCTGCTCACCTGGGAGGGGGGGGGTATACAGATTCCAGTCCTGCGCAGGCGCTCTGCGACCCCGTCGCGTGCCTTTCCTCAGGACACGCGTTGAGTCCAGGTTCCCGCACTGCGCAGGCGCTCTGCGTTCTCCCGGGTCTTCTCTCTGTGCAAGCGGCGTGCGTTTCCCTGCGTCTTCCGCGCTTTTTCTTTGGAGCCCTGTCATTTCCTTTTGGCTCTCCTGGGAGGGCGCCTCAGCTGAGGTACGTGTGGTACTTGGTGGGAGCTGGTGGGTTTTTTGGTCAGGGGTCCGGGCCCATCCATGCTGCTCTGGCTGAGGAGAGGTTTCTGAGGAGGGAGCTACTCACATGCCCTCAAGCAAAGAGCCAAAGATGAATAATTTGATCTCCCTTCGCAGCAAGTGGTATTTAAATATTTACTGGATACACACTTAGTGGAGGTAAGGAGAAGCCGGCTCGTTGCCCTAGCAGTTGTGCACTTCTGTTTTGAAGAGGGAACTTAAGTTTTTTTTTTTTCTATGAAGACTATTGTTTATTTTTATTTTCTTACATCGTTCATTTTTGGAAACTGTTTGGTTTCTTCCCTCAGGTGTTGTTCCCATAGCTTGTCCACTACCATGTCACTGATGACCATCACCACAGTCCCCTGTGTTCTTCCCACCACTGTTCTCGACCCTCTCCTTTCCCCACCCCTGCTGGATGCCTCAGATCTGTGGTTTGCCTGCAAGTTTTTCCCCCCTATCCTTTTTTTTTGGTTCTCTGTATTCTTCCAATAAGACAGACCCATATGATATTTTCCTTTTCCCGTCTGGCTAATCACTGAGCATCAGCCTATCCAGCTCCATCCATATTTCTGCAAATGGCATAAATTTTATCTTTTTGATTGCTGAATAGTATTCAGCAGGAATGGTTTGATCCACTCATCTATTTGGGGGCCTTTGGGTTGTTTTCATATCTTGGCTATTGCAAGTAGAGTTGTAGTAAATGTGCTGATCAGCTGGGCTCTTGTGTTAAGTGATTTAGGAATAATCACTGACACATGGACAGAAATTAGCAAGCTCAAGTTTATTGCAAGAGAGACTCCTGACAGCAGGAGAGGGTTCTGCTTTTATAATCTCTCATGGCGTCTTTCCCCACTGCTTTTCCACTACTTCCTTTTGCCTTATTGCCCCACTGCCACCCAGAAGTGTGAAGTCATTGCAAGCTACTGCCTCTTGTGGTCATCAGCCTCTGCCTGCAAGCTCACAGTGGTGGGCAGCCTTTTCCTCGTTAGCTTTCTGCTCCCTCCAGCATCCAACCTCAGTTTGCTGCTTTACAAGCCTGTGCCAGGCAGCTTGCAGCCAGCCCTCACCAGCCAGCTCCCTAACCTGCTAGAGGAACCTCCACACAACTTTCCATAGCGGCTGGACCAGTTTGCATCCCCACCTGCAGTGTAGGAGAGTTCCTTTTTC